CATTTGAGTACACTCGAAAGTGCAAATGTTAAGTGGACCAGTAAAGGTGAGGGCCAACAAGACGCCCAAAACAAAAAATCTAAAAATTCAGTGGAGGGAAAGGTTCGGGGAGGAGGTGGGAGTTTGGAACAAAGCTTGTATGCTCGATAGACGTTCAGGCAGAATGGTGTCATCCTTGAAAACTAGGACAGGTTAAGATGACCCAGCCTCATCCCCTGATTGGCCATTCCAATGATAAAATTAGAGATAAACTAAATATGGATAGTAATTTTATATTCATTTCGATTACATAGGAGATATATGACTAAATATGGATAGTAATTTTACATTCATTTCGATTACATAGGAGATATATGACTAAATATGGATAGTAATTTTACATTCATTTCGATTACATAAGAGATAGCTGACTAAATATGGATAGTAATTTTACTTTCACTTGCGGTTACATAAGAGATAGACTAAATATGGATAGTAATTTTACATTCATTCCGATCGCATGAGGTTTACGTGCTACATAACGTACGTAATTAAAAAGATCGGCATGACACATAAAAATTCTATTTGTGCCAAATATTTAATTTAATTTACTAACTAACCTCAGTATACAGATCAATGTATCGTGTGCTTTTAGCGCAATATTTTTAACGTTCATAACTGCCATGATGTTGGTAACGGTTCTCTTCTACCTTGTAGTATAACTCCATTACCAACCTGGCCGATAAGCATTCCTATTGGACGTTTTGATAATCTTTTACAAGGAATGAATACAGGCCATCACGATCACTTGACATCTACACTAGAAACTGGTTGAAGTTGACTTCTWAAATAACTGGGTTTGTCTTTCCCATACTGAAATTGAAGATTTGTAAATTAGTTCAAAAAGGAATTGATCACTGTTTCAATGTGGTACAGTCTAAAGCAGTTTTCGTATGAGTGGCGAATGTTACGAAATGTACMATATATTACTGTAGCCGTAACTATAACTTTGTGATTGGATGAATTTCTGGAGAGCCATTTCCGAAAAACGAAAAAAGTATTTCAGTTCAATGTTAC